ATGTTAACAGAAAGTTTTCTCTATGTAGTGTGGTTATAGGTGATTTTTGTAACTCTTGCTTTTTCTCATTTTTTTCAAAATTTCTGTGATAAACATGTATTATTTTAGTAATCAGCACAAAAAAACATTTTTCAGTCAACCTCTACAGAAAACTTTAACTATCCCTGACAATCGGTTACTCCCTCCTCTTTGCAGCCTCTGTGCTTTCTTTTGTTGTGTTCATCACATGCATTATTTTAGTGCCAGTCTCTCTACAAGACTATAAGTTTTATGAAAATTGGTTTATATTTCTTTAGCGCTGTATCTTCAGTGCCTAGAATAGTGCCTGGCACACAGTGGTGCTCAAAGTTTGCTAGATTGAACTAAATTCCAAGGTACTAGGAATTTAATTATCAATTATCTTTCATAACCATGAGATTATAACAAAAAGGCATGCCTACAGTTTTAAATGTGATTTTAGTGATCCACGAAGTACATAAATTGCACATATAGTAGCTGATAAATTGTGACACATTGATAAATTGAAAGTTGACAGCACAGTGCAAGGTACATATTTAGGTGTTCAATAAATACTTGAGAATGGTTGGCTGGTTTGAGGTCTTAAAAAGTATCCTACTCAAAGAGAGAAGGATAAAATAGAAACCTTTTTACATAACATCACAAGAAGAAGACATGGCCATGATAAACTATAAAACATTCATACATTCATTCGTTCATTCAAAGAATGTTTATTGAGCACTAATGGAGTGCCAGCTATTTTTGGGAAAACGACCTTGCAATTTGATGTAAATATAAAACTGTGTCATATCACAATATCCAAGCACTCAGAAAATAACAAGGGAAGTTTTGCAGATATGGAAAGTAGTTTCCCAAATCCACAGGGAAAGTGGGACGTTCTCTCATCTGTACTATTTCATTTCTGCTTCTGTCATAGCATTTATCCCACTGAATTGTAATTTATCCTTCTACATATGTCTGGCTTTCCCCACTAGATTGTGAGCCTTGATCATCTCTTTTATCGCCATCACCCAGCACATAGACGTTTCCCAAATCCACAGGGAAAGTGGGATGTTCTCTCATCTGTACTATTTCATTTCTGCTTCTGTCATAGCATTTATCCCACTGAATTGTAATTTATCCTTCTACATATGTCTAGCTTTCCCCACTAGATTGTGAGCCTTGATCATCTCTTTTATCGCCATCACCCAGCACATAGAATGTTCTCAAAAATACTGAATGATTGAATGATTAAACTATTACTTAAATTCCCACATCAACAAATGACAATGCATTACCTTTCAGGGGTCATATTCTTCTCACCACTCCCATTTCGCTCAAACTTGTCCAGTAAGCTGACGCTTGTCACTTTGGCAGGGGAGACAGCCTGTTTATTTCGAAGTCTCTTGGGCGACAAGATCTCTGTAGCATAAGGAATGAACGGAAGTGAGTTTCCTTTCAACTTTCAAACCACTAAAGGGTAGTTTGTACTTAACACAGACAAATAAACTCTGATAGTTTTACCAAGAGAAATTTTCACATAAGATACATTCTCTTATCTTCAAATGATTGTCCCATACCCTATGGTGGTGTGAAAAATGTTTTTGCTGCATACGTGCAAAGAAAGCACTATGCTGGGCATTTAGAGACTACAAAGAGGCAAGTCTTTGCCCTTAAAGATCTTTCAGTAGATATAGTTGGAGAAAAAAACAAGATATCAACAAAAAAAGTGAGAGCTCCCATTTTGTGGAGATCTTACTATACGCCAACAGTGCTAAGTGCATGACATACATTGTGTAAACAGCAACTTAGGACAATGATGCAAAATGCCTAAATCCCAAACAAATGGTGCAATCTTTAAGGGTCTGACACGTTCAGAGAAGAGAGAAGCCACTTCAGAATCCAGTAGTAAGAGAAGTTTTCATGGAGTAAGTGAGATGTAACAAAGGTTCTAAAAGGTAAGGAGAACTGAGATAGACTGAAAGAAAAGAAAGGGCATCCCAGACTGGAGAAAAAGTGAACAAAAGGAAGAAGTCAGGGAAGGGCAAAGCATGTTAGAAAAACATGAAAAGACAATTTTGCCCAAGAGTCTGTGTAGGGAACAGTGGAAGATGAGGCTAGAGAAATGAAAGTATGTGAATATTAGGCTAATAGTTTATATGTGGTCCTGTAAGCCACACATCGAGAACTGACATCCACAAGCCAATGTTACCCATTGAAATGTTTTGTTTGGCCCAATCAGCACTTTTTATTTTAATATCATTAGTTGTCAACATTTAACAATGAATAGATTTCACATCAAAGTCAGGATCTCTGCTTCTCTTGAAAAATCAGAAGTTATCACACCACTTGGGCCACATTTCCACAAAGCAACAACATGCTCAGAAGAAAAGTCCTCAGAGTGTGGTCTGGCAAGCCCTGGGGGCCCCCAGGTCCTTTTAAAATATCTGCAGAGTCCTAGAATTTTCTTTGCATGATTCAACCAAAATCATGCAGATTTTGGTTAGATGTAGATTAAATGCAGACGCAGGTATGAGAATCCAGCTATCTTCTACAGACATCAAAGAAGCAAAACTGGCACTCTTCATTTTTTACAAAAAATTTTATTTAAACTAACACATCTCCCTGTCATCTTATATCCAGCCCACTTCAAGCATTTATGTTACCTGCCTGGATCCTGCAAGCATCTGAGTGTTGACCCCTCTAAGCTATGAGGAGCCAGCAGAGACGATAGTCCAAAAGCCTGCAAGTCCCAGGATCTAAGACTCATACAGTAGTTAGGGAGAGATACAGGATTCCAGGAACAGGAGATGTTTGTTAGAGAGAAGAATACAGTGATTATTCATGAATCTAACTATACTTACTTTGGGCATATGAGTTGCTAAGCAATATGGCTGGGCTCATAAGCAATAGAGAGTGACACATTATACCCAGAAATCATTGGCCTACCTCTGATGCCTTCCTCTTTGTCTATCTGATCTTTTAACTTGGACTTCTTTTGTCTATTCTCTCTGCCTTCCTCTGCAATGGTCTCCATAGGGGGTTTGTTCTCCATCTCCTTGAAATCAATCCTAAAAATGAGCCAAGATGAACCGGTTAGGTGACTGTGTGAATTCCCAGCCAGCTCACTGATTCTGAATAAGCCCACTGCCTTCAAGGGATCAGTGTTTTGATTTGTTGAGTACATATCATTAACTCACTCTCTTTGAGGCTAAGTCTAGGAGCTGACCAAGATCTTCCCCCTCTACATGTGGGCTCAAAGCAGTTTGTAGATAGAGAACTGCTTTGAAGGCCTCTATTTTTAAGTTTTGGCTTTTGGTTTTAGTTTGAATTTTTCTATATACTTTCTAGTTCTGTAACCACATGCCACAGGGGTCATGTAATGAAAGGTGATTGTTGGATAGCTTGAAGGCAAGGATTCATACTCTAGTAGACAGAGAATGCCTCCAAATAACTGTTCCTTTCCTCCTCCTCACTTCCCCATCCTCTCCCCAGGCAAGACTGAAGGACTTGCAAAGGTCCAATTTGGGGGGTGGGGGTGGGTGTTCGGCTGGTGTATGTAGTTGTAGGTTTCCTTTGATCTCAGGTATGGAGTACTGGGTTGGAGCTGAGAGGTAGGGGTGGTACTTCCAATAAATTCAAGGACCAAACTTCACACAAATAAAACACCAACAATTGTTTTGAGTATTTGAGTCCTCATGTTCATTTCTAGGCTCTTGAATTGACAGGAGCCTCCATCTCTGTTCTTTGACCCACTTCAATTATTTCCCTCCTTGAGTGCTTAAGCTAAAATATGTCAAAGGGGACAGCCAAATTTGCCTTCGAAAACAATCAAAATAGAATTATTTTGAATCTGTTGATTTATTTTTAATGAATAAAGCACCACAGTAAGAAGGAAAGGACACTAGAATGATCAGAAGCCATGGTTTTGTTTCTAGCGTGGCGACTCATTAGTTGTATGGCCATGTCATCTGCAAGATAAGGGGCTGGACTAACTACTCTCTAAGGCTTATTCTGGTCTTCGCACGGATTCTCCTGAGGTATGTGTCACACAGCTCTTCCGGGAGGGGGTTGTTCCAAACCAACAAACACAGAGGATGTCACAGACTCAAAAACTATGAGAAAAGAATTCTCTAGGAAGCTGGTTGTTATTCCCCAAACTTCCTCCACCTGAAATGCACAGTGGTTAACAGCAGAGCAATTAAGAGTGAAAACATAATTAAGAGCACATGAGTGAGTGATGTCCAACTGGAAATACCACTGGAGTCTCCTGACTCCTATTCCAGCGCTCCTAATAGTGCACCATGTTGCTTCACTCATTTAAAAAAAAAAAAAAAGAATTTAAATTAAAATTAATTTTGTATCTCTACAGAATGGAGAAAATTATAATTCATAGCTCACATGGCTGTAGTAAATATTAAATAATATTAAGAAAGTGCTTAACAGGAACTGGCATCT